CCGCCCGCCGCCTCGCCCGGCAGGTGGAGGGGAGCAGCAGGGAGCTGAGCAGGGTTAAACCCGCGGGCACAGAACAGCCAGCAGGGAGCGAGCCGTGGCTGAACCTTGTTCTCGTTTGTCACCAGTATAAATCCGAAGCAGTTTCTTCAGGTCTGTAGAGCTGCTTTGGCGGAGAATGTGGCCCTAGAGTTTATGCTGTCTTACCCTCCAAGAGCAGACAGTCTTGGTGGTGGGTACCACAGGAGGGCACTCACCGAGTCTTACTCACTAAATGGAAGGAAATGCCCCGAAAGTGTGGGGACCAGACAGCATTTTTAGCAGGAGGGTTTCCCAATCTGTGCTTTAGCCTGTGCCTCATTGTAGAGTGTATTAGTGGACAGACTGAGTGTTTGTTGTCTTATCGCTGAAATAAGGCAACCAGGAAGAAATCCAAGGCCTTTCCTGCTCATGGTTGGGTGTTCCCCAGTGACTGGATCTGATGTTTGTGTAGGGGATGCTGGAGAGATTTTGGAGTATTGGTGTTCTCAGAGAGGAGCTTTGGAAAGACCACTCGTTAACACGAACACGGCCTAGTGTGAAGCTGAAACTGTGTTTTCCCGTTCCAAAGCTCAGCTAATCTGTTTTGGATTTTATCTTCATGTAACTTTTGTTGGAGAACTAGGATGTTTTAATATCTAGTAAGTTTTTTTCTGGTCTAAGGGTGGTTAACAAGGAGGTGTTGGTTGTTTTTTAGAAGTTCCTCTGTGCTCATAGTAAGGAGATGCAGTGCTTGGAACAAGAGATCCACAAAGGCTCACTTTCTGAGAAACCATGTAGGAATGGGTCTGTTGTACAGGGAATCACCTGGCAGCATGCTTTTCCTGAATGAGCCTGCTAGACTAATTTTTTTCCACGTAGTTTAGCAGTCATTGAGTCTGTGCAAAAATGCAAAGGAGGCTCGAGTTCTGAGGATGTCAGTTGCCGTGGTAATGCTGTTTCCCATGGATTTTTGTCCTGTGGTAATTGTGTTCTTTTTCTAACGTGATCTGGGAGTTGTGCGATCCTCGGGGATGTTGGTGGCAGAGTTACTGGGAATCCTTGCCCTTACCAGATTGATCCAACACTTCCCTAAAAGACACAGCTGCTCGTTGCCAGCTCTGGCTGCTTTTTTGCATGCATCACAGATGATCAGGGGAATTTTTTGGGAAAAGTCCACAGATGTCACATCTTGGCGGGGAAATATAGGAAGAGAGAAATACGACTTTAGGGAGCTAAATATGAACTGTGCTTTCTAAGCATGTAGAGATAGCTCTTTAAAACCCTAAATTGTTAACAGCGGAAATGTAACATATATGGCAAAAAGCAATTTTTGTGTGGATGCGGGGAAGAAAGAAAAAAAGTACTTGTTTGTGCTTTACTGACTTGCCAAGTTTTGATTCAGGGTGCAGCGTTCCTCTTGCCAGCATCACTACTCGCAGCTTCCTCACACTGCACAAGAAAGCATCATGGTGCTGTGTGGTGTGTGATCTTAGTGATGAGAGAAGCAGACTGCAGGAATCAGATCCTGGGTTTAGCCTGACTGTGTGCTGTCAGACACGTGACACTGCAGCTTCTGCTTCAGTGTGTGTGGCATGCTCCTTTTGTAAACTGTGAGTAGCCTTACTACTGTCCTGATACAGCTCTGGTGTCTTCCAGAGGTCACAATCTACTGGTACCTCTCCTCCTTCAGATGCAGTTGGTTGGATTCCATCTCAGAGTGGACCATATGATCCATGGAAATATAAGAAACTTTTTTTTTTTTTCTGAGCTTTGATGTCCTAGATTTTTATAGACAGAAAAGAAACTATGTGCTCTATTAAAAAGACATTGAGCCTGCACCCAGAAAAGGAGCTGAGCGTAAGGATCCAGAACATCACCGTTCCTAGCTTAAAGTGTCGAGCAGTGGGTTGCAGAATGTGCTTGAGAGGGTTTTCAGGAGGGCCTGTCAGGAGGCTTGCGCAGTCTGTCTGGATGCGTTGGAAGGGTCTGAAGTGCCAGCGGTTCTGAGCCTAGGCACCAGTGAACAGTCCTGTGTCGTGAAAAAGGGGGCAGCAGAACGTGAAGGTGTCTGGCTGGAAAATTGAGTTTGGAGCTAAAAGCTATTTTTTTTAAGCTAAAGGTGCTTGTATCTCTCTGGTATGTTAGTGACTGTACAAGGTGCAGAGGTGTTCCAGAATTGTTTCACTTCTGCTCCTTTAGAGCCAGAGAAATACCTTCCATCTACTGAGTCTTTCATCTAAGCTAGCGGGCTGGGTGAGGAACCATCTTCCCTAGTCTGGTGAGAGTGGCAAGTGAATCCAAGGAGGCCTTGTTTAGCAGATTTTCTTAGTAACTGGAATCATGTAGTCATCGCTGGAAAATTGCCCCTGCACAAAGTGTTTTTGCTAATATTAACTTTAGTTCCATCTCAGCTCAATGGAGGGAAAAACTAGAAAGTGCCATAAATTCAGCTGAGCTTGTCAAAGCTGTCAAATTACCACCTGATAAAGCTCCTGCCTCCTAATGATTACAGCCATCAGCCAGAGAGGAAATGTATGCCGATGGGGCTTTCGAGCGACAGCACCAGGGTTCAACATTGTTAGACTTTTAATGTAGTGTCATCTGGGGGCTCTTTGGCTTCAGTGGAGGGTGAAGCTCCGAGCAGAGTTATTTCTTTAAAAAAAAAAAAAAAAAAAAATCCAAGGTAGGCTAGCATACTACCCCTCTCATCAGCCAGATTAATGCTGACTACTAAATTTTAGTAAAGGTCTTCTTTGGTCCCATTTGTTAGTATTAGGAGTCTGTAGAGATAATGTCTTTTCACATATAAAAGATGATACTGATTTTCTGTTACTGTTGTCCTGAAATGTGCACAGTGTGTCTATGGAGCAGTGACAATCCTCCATCACTAGCTTTATGGGGAAAGAATGGTTATTGAATCTCTTCCCATAAAATATAACCTCTTTCTCTCTTCCAGAATTTGCCAGCCCCTGTGGGAGTCCCGCATGCTATCTCTTTGAGAAAATTGATTTTTTTTTTGTCTCCGCTTTGTACACTTGTGTTTAGTTTTATTTTTAATTTGGCTCGTGTGATAGGAAATGAGGGCTTCCCTAATGTTAAGCATGCTTTCTCAGTGTTGTATTGCTTCTTTTTCGTATAGATGAACACTTTCAGAATGCTGTAAAATAAAATAAAGAAATTTGCTTGGCACAAGTCTCTCTTGTTGTTGCTGGGAATTTTTTTACTCCGGGTGAGTCACTGCCCTGCTCTTTCTTTCCAGGCAGGTCTGAGATACTGACAGCTTTTCAGCTGCTTACAGGTAAATTTGGGGTAAGTTTCTAGAGTCAACACAGGCTGATTGATTTTGGATGAATGACACCGCAGCAGAGAACACAACTTGCAACAGAATACTGTCTGCTCAGGGAGCAATGGTCTTTGAACTTGAACAGCGGCAAAAACACTCTGTCAAATTTGTCCTTTCCTCTGTGTAGCAAATGACTGACTATGGGACTTTTTCCTTTCAGGGAGGAAACGGCAACATGAATTCATAGATGATGAGTAGGATGCCAAAGCCAGAGATGACAGTGCTCTTGAAGAAATGCTGGGTAGAACAAAAAGGTAAAAGGAACAGCTAATTGAGTGCATTTTGGAGCCTGCGGGACTTCATGTGGTACCTTCCCCCATGAGGCAAATGGTGCACCCCCTCAAACCGTGGCTGGGTTCTCTGAATTCCCTCCTCCTCCATTTTGCATGAAGTCCCAGTGACGCCTTTCACTTCTGACCTACTCTTTGCTTAGGTCTTCCCCAAAGCTGCATCATTCTGTACCTGAAACCACTGCCAGGCTCGTACTTTCAAACGTGTCCTTGCATGCACATGCTTGCAGGTTCAGCA